TTCTCCACATATTGTAAGACTTTTTTAAACTTCGCGTGCCGACAATACATAACCTACGGCCTTGTGGCATAGATCCAGAGTACCCGCTTCGACAACCTTCTTCCACCTGCCGTGCGTGAACTTCTAAGCGATATCCTTATTTTTTCCTAAAAGTCCATAAACTCTATCTTCCACATCCTTGTTGATGTGTCACATGCAAAATAAGTGGACATATTTTGGAAAATTCCTCCGAATATGAGTCATCAAGCCCAACTCCATGTCAGTGACAATGTGATGTAGGGAAGCGTACGATTGGGAAGGATAAATAAGTAAACAAGATACTCTTTCGTAAAATACGCAAAACTCAACAATATCTTATTTCATTCAAAATCAACTCTTCAAATAACAAAGAAGAATGAGTCTTTAAATAAGACTCCTAAAGCCTTAAACCTAACTTGTTCACCAATTTACTTAATAATAATAATAATAATAATAATAATATAATAATAATAATAACAATAATAATAATAATAATAATCATTAAACTATCCGCATCATTTTCCTCCGGTTCGAAAAGCTTCGCCCGCGAAGCCGCACCAAACGTGTCGACTCCGAAGTCGTACCCATGGCAATCATCGTTCGATGTTTCCCCCTATCTGTCACGAAAGTTGAATGTCTCCCAACGTCCACTCTAGCCGACCCACACAACATAGGAACCCTACTTCCAATCCAAACAAACACTTCTAAAGTCGTTGCCCTCTCCTAGTCATTGGAATTAGCACCATGGAACTGCATCAATATATATAACCGCATATCGAAGTCTTATGCTTCATGTTTCTTAAATTCATATGCAACACCACCTTCAAAGGGTATAAAAAATGGATTAAAATATGACAAAACTTTGTCAGACTTGTGCCCATGTAATTCGCTATACCGCACAACGCGGCCACCAAGAATCGCATAAAGTTCAATGGTATTGATAGCAACAATTCCAGCTTCATCCTCCGGCCCCGGAGGCTCCTCATTGAAAATCGGCGAATCGTCGTACAATGAACCGTCATGTTGTTCTCCATCCAAATCGGGGATGTCCAGGCGAAACCGACCCTCCCATTGGCCATATTCGCTATCAAGTCCACAATCGCGTCGGGCACGATATCCGCCGGCGAAGGCAGCCTCCTCGCGCCTGCTTATGTCGGTGCGTTGATTGTCGCCTTCCACGATGACCGGGCCCCATCGCCGCATGTCACGACCGTCGTATGGGGTTCACCTCCGAGATTGTCTTCTCGCTGTCTTCATCGTCGGGCGGCGGTTGTAGTGATCTCTGGCGGGGCACCCCACCCAGACCACGACCTCCACGTCCACCGCGAGTTCCCCTGAGCACGCCCCGGTTGCCGGCGTCACGGTACGTTTGCTTGTTCTGAACCATGGTACGGATAGGGACGTATGTTCCCGATCTCCGCGGACAGATCTGCAATCTGACGACCCATCGTCTCGAGCCGGCGGCCAAACCACTCGGTTCAGCGGCTCAGGTTGTAGATGGCGGCGAGACGTCTGTCGTTTGCAACATATTGTCTTCGTGACAGCATCATGAATCGTGCTGACTTCTGATACCAAATGATGTAGGGATGTGTATGATTAGGAAGGATAAACGAGTAAAAAAGATACTCTCTCGTAAAACACGCAAAAATCAACAATATGTTATTTCATTCAAAATCAACTCTTCAAATAACAAAGAAGAATGAGTCTTTAAATAAGACTCCTAAAGCCTTAAACCTAACTTGTTCACCAATTAACTTAATAATAATAATAATAATAATAATAATAATAATAATAATAATAATAATAATAATAATAATAATAATAATAATTAAGGGCATTTGCACGCTTTAGTTTTCGAATGTCTGGCAGCAGCTTTATCAAAATCATTTAAACAGTGTTTGTAACGTTCCCATTGTTAGTGTTATATACTGAAAGCTTGACTTTGGATGATATTACACTTTTACCCTTTATGAATGAGAAACATGTTAGATTAATAAGTTCTACGTTATGTTGTTTTTCATTAGATAGTGGGGGTCGTCATCGGGCGAAAAGATCATTCTATCAGTTACTCGCGAAACAAGAATAAGTGGTTCACAACCTAGATGGACATGAACACCCCATCGTGAACGGTTGTAGTGCCAACCATACAGTTTGTCTTGACTGATTAGTTGCACTAGTACATTTATGTATAGAACATGATCCCAGAGATGAGCAGTTCATTTTATACTGATCGTCGTAAACGAACTAGGCCTCGATTAATTACTGTGTGCTCTTAACCCGTATGATATTAAACAGGCATATATGTGTAGTACTTATTACTTTAGTTCACATGGGTGAGGCTTAATGAACTGGGCCAATAGACCCGCTGTCTTGGGTAATATTGATGCATGTAAGATGTGCTGTTAGGATATTTACGGTCACCATGTGTGTTAGTTTGATGATGTCCTCGGAGTGAGTTCATGAAGGATTATTATGCTAAACCCTACAGGTGGATTAAATTCCGACATAATATGAATGTGATGAACGAGCGCTAGCTTCAGTGAAATAATAATAAATTAATTAATTCTTGATTGTCAGTAATCGTATTAATTAATGGACATTATATCTTAAACATGGGGAGATAAATCGAGTAATTATTATTGGAGTCTCAATTGTAAATTGGGCTAGGAAAAGGGAGTGCAATAATATTATGTTGGTGACCCATTTAATATTATTTAATTAATTAAAATAGGTGAATTGGTCCACAAGTATTTTAATTAATTAAGGAGCCATAATCCTAATCTTCTAAGATCAACCAACTATTCATTGGTGTGCTGTGTACGGCCATCCAGAAGATCAACCAGATCGCCATAAATTTTAAGCCGTAAGTTATATACGCAAACCTTTGGATCCGCTGCGCATAGGTTTACGTTTGCTATTGACTTCGTGATTTGTACGTAACGAGATCCTCATAGATACTAACAACCCTCGCGAACACTTCAAAATCTTCATCTTTCCTTATTTTTTTGTGTTTCGAAATGACCAATTTGAAACTATAATAATTGCCATAATTTTTGTCCATGAAATAGCTTCTTCATCACCACCAAATAGTTCCTCTGTAGTGAAAGCATCTCTGTAATCAAAACCGTCTCCTCCAAATCTTCGAATGACACATGCAATATATTATGATGTTAATAGTTTTCTAAGATAATCGGTTCTAATTTATAACTTAAAAATTTCTGAGTTCTAACATAATAATAATAAATTCTACTTTATAAGATAATCAATTCTAACTTATAACATAATAATTTATGAGTTCTAACATAATAGTAATAAATTCTAGTCCATAAAATAATAAGTTCTAATTTATAACATAGTAATTTCTGAATTCTAACATAATAATAATAAATTTTAATTTATAATACAATAATTTCTACTAAATAATTTTTTGCATGAATAAAAATTAACTAATTCAAACAAAAACAATGGTCAACCGACCAAAAAAACGACCACAACGCCACCAACCAAATGGCAATTGCGGTTGGGCATGATCCCAACTGGCCGACAAGGTAGGCCGATGAAGGTCATGGCCGGCTGCATGTTACGGCCGCCAATGGCATGGCCTACCTTGCCGGCCGGCTTCGTCCGTTCGTCGATCGCAGATTGGCAGGTTTCACCGGTCGGCCAGCCAAAATACACACTTCGTTGGACGACATTTTCTCGCCGAAAATCGCCTGGTAAAGAGAATTTTACAATTTTTTGTAGTTTTTTTAAAAATAATAAGGAAAAAATGGTCTAGAGGGACGCTACATAGTAATAGGGGCGGTTTTTAGTAGTAACACCTAGGGGTGTTCATCGGTCGGTTCGGTCGACCGACCGAACCGAACTACGAAAACCAAATTGTTAAATTTTAACCGAACCGACCGAATTAAGTGCCTAAAACCGAATTTTAACCGAACCGAATTGTTTGGTCGGTTAACCGAATTTTACAAAAAAAAAAAACATTTATTTATAATATTATAAATTTATATATTAATATTATATTATAAACTTATATATTATATTATAAATATATATTAATATTATATCATAAATTTATAATATATATTATGATATTATATATATATATATATATATATATATATTATTC